AGTCCCAAGTTTTACAGAACAAATCTGTGAAGTTGGATTCAGTTAAAGGGCCGCACTTGAGGGCCTAGAAGGCCACAGGTTCCCCACCCGTGGGCTAAGGCTTTTTGTGTGTCTGTGCTAATTGTGGTACCAATATGGTGAGCCCCAGAGGCAAGGGGGTCACTAGCTGCCTAAGAAGGGGTGAATTGGCCCAGGCTGGAAAAAGTGGGTCAAAGATTCTCTACCAAACAGCAGTGGGGTCAGTCCCATGAGTGGCTTGCTGCACTTCCAGTCTATTTGAGATGGGGAGACGCAGGCTCAAAAACCAAACTAACTAAAACAAAGAACCTATGTTTTACCAATTGGTAGTTAAAAGTTCAGGCCATTTAAGTGTGGTAGAAATATTTAGGAACCTACTGCTAGAAACCAAAGTCCCACCACCATCCAAATCACTCAAGATGAAAATGAGTAAGGTCCCCAGCTAAGTTACCCTCACTCTCATTACCATGGAGAACGAAGTTATTTCACAAAGAAAAGAAATGAAACTTACACGTGACAAAAAAGAGCTAAGAGCTAAGTTATAACTAAAAGGGGCTGAGAACATAAGATTCCACCATGTTTGTTTGTTGACTTCGTATAAAAACTCAACCTTAAACACTCTGCCTATCACGCATACATTAAGATGTTATACATCTCCTATAACATAGAGATAACGCCTTTCAATGATCCTCTGGTGACAATATGAGATGAGGGATAAAACTGACATATACTTGCCAGAGTTTGCTACTATTATAGAATCTGTCCTGTACAAGGTCCAAATGGAAGAGGGACTCCCTACATATGTTGAGGTTTTTCCAATGCTCCTTTTGTCAGGTGACATTTTGCTGACTGCATCAACCCCTCTAATACTACGGGATCTCTTCACTGAGATCCCCAACACCTCCAAAGGGATGGTCCTAGCAATCCACCCAAAATAAACAAAAGGCTATAGAAATGAGAAATAGAAATGTCATTTTATTTCCCCGAAATTCAACATTTTTAATTCCTATTTTGGGAATTCCCTTTACCCAATTATTTTTTATCTCCAATTCAATTTATTAAATGTCTAGAATGCACAAAGGGGAAGCTAGGTGTTGCAGGGGAGAGAGTGCTGGGCCTGGAGTCAGAAAGACACATCTCCATGACTTCAAATCTGGCCTCAGATACTTGCCAGCTGTGTGAACCTGGACAAGTCACTTAACCCTGTTTGCTCAGTTTCCTCATTTGTAAAATGAGCTGGAAAAGGAAATAGCAAACTACTCCAGTATCTCTACCAAGAAAACCCCGAATTGGATCACAGAGAGTAGAAAACAATTGAAACAACTGAACAACAGGAAGGTACGAGGCTCTTAAGATGAAAACTGGTAGCTTGTGAATACTTGGGGAAATCTGCAAGAAAACACAAAGCCTGGGAACTCCTTCACTTAACAACCCTATAGCATTTTGGTTTGTTGTTGCTTAATCCCTTCATTATTCAAGAGATCATTACTAAACCTCCGAAGTTCAAATTAAGTGGTATAATATGCTATTATATATAATATTGAGAACTGGCAGTCTGCTTAGGGAAATCACTTCACTTAGGCTCCATCACACAAGAAGACATATATTTAGTAGGGATGTCATTTGTGTACAGTCAGTCACAGGTCAGGGTTAGTTTTCCCACATTGCTTAGATGGGAGCAGGAGCTATCACAAAAAGGAGCGAAGGCGTTGTTTACATCACTTGGATTTTATACTTGACTCCTATGCTACTCTAGGTAATTATCCTGGGCAGCGTTAACCAAGCCAAGAAGGTAAAACACTAAGTGGTTAACTAAATGGAGAGATTGAAGATGTCAGAAAGCCTAAGTTGGACAAGGGAAGTTTGATTATGTTAATAAATATTTTCCTATGCCATCCCACCCTCTGTCACAACACCATACTAACTGGGTTTAAAACAATGCATGTTAAGCACAGACTATATGTAGTTAGGAACATTTTCCACAAGAGTCTTTATTCTAATTCTCCCAAAAGAATTATGTTTAGGGTGTGCAGCAGCGCTGCTCTCATAGATGACTCTGTAACCTCATCCCCTTGCCCCATGTGGCAGCCAAGGAACCTAGAAGACTGAAGGTACCTATAGTGAGACCAAGCAGGGCTTACCTCACCCTGAAGTGTAGAAGGGGGCAGAGCCTAAGTCTGATACAAAGCCCCATTTCAGGAATTAAAATTGGAGATATGAGTAAATCCAAGAAACCACCATCCAGTATAAAAAAAAAATTATTATACACCTAGAGACCTGTAAAAAAAAAAAAGGAGTAATTCTGTAACAATGAGACAGTGGTTAAGGGGAAAAAAACCTGAGTTTCAATAAATGCTACATAAATACTTAGAAGAAATAAAATGAGAGATTAAAAAAATGAAAGAAAATCTCTGGAGGAAAGAACTGCAAGGATAATAAGTATCTTATAAGAAAAAGAAAAACCTTAACTAAGTAATGGACTCCCTGAAAACCATAATAAACCACACAGAAATCAATGACTCCATAAAGCTCCAAAAATATTACAATAAAATTAAGTACAAAAAAAAAGAAAATCTAAGCTATCAGATATCAAAGATAACTGACCTGGAAAACAGGTCAAGGAGAAATCATTTAAGAAACATAACTCTCTGAAAACCAAAATTAAAAACAAAAAGAAAAAAATGTATGGACAATATATTTCAAGAAATCACAAATGAAAACCACCTAGATATATTAGAAGCAGAGAGCAAAATAAAGATATAAAAAATCTACCAGTCACTTCCTGAAAGAAATCCCAAAAGAGTAACTGCCAGAAATGTTTCAGCTGAAACCCAGAGCTCACAAGTAAAAGAAAAAAATAAATTGCAAAAACCCAGGAACACAGTGAGTACTAACAAACTACAATCAGGATCACATGAGAACTAGCAGCTTCTAGTTGGGATTCAATACAATATTCCAAAAGGCAAAAGGTACAAGTTTACAATCAAGAATAACTTACACCTGGACAAGTTGAGTTATAATTCCCCAGAGGAGAAAAAAAAATGGACTTTTAGTAGAATAAAGGACTTCCAAACATTTCTGATGAAAAGAACAGAACTGAGTAGGAACTTTGAAATGGAAATACGAGAGCCAGGAGGAACCTAGAAATATAAACTTATGATTATGTAGTGCTAACATTCTAATGGGGGAGAAGAAACAAATATCTTCACAACTTCCAAGTCATCAAAGGGTACTGATGAAGTTAGATAAGAAAATCTGAGAACCTGGGAGTAGATTGGTTCCATTCTGAGAGTTTGATGAGGGAAAACAGAAGAGAGACTGAAAGAATTGAGCTATTATAGAAAGGAGGAAGAATGGAATGGAACTTGCTAATTCTGCATGAGAAGATCATACAAAGACGCAGCTAAAGTTAGAAGGGAAAATAATTAACTGCAGAAAAAAGAACTTTACAGCAAATTTCTCTGATAAGGGTCTCGTTTCCATGATATATAAAGTAATGATTTATACTTATAAAAAATAAGAGCCATTTCCAATTAATAAATCATCAAAAGATACAAACAGGCAGTTAGTTCTCAGAGGAAAGCATCCAAGCTATCAGCAGCCATATGAAAAAATGCTCTAAATCACAAAAGAAATGAAAGTTAAAGCAACTCTGAGGTTCCACCTCATACCTATCAATTGGCAAAGACAACAAAAAGGCAAAATGAGAATGGCTGGAGGGACTTCAAGAAAACAAGCACATTAGTGTAGAGTTGTGAACTGATCCAACCATTTTGGAAAGCAATTTGGAACTATGACCAAAATGTCACTAAACTGTACATATCCTTCGATTCATCAACACCTCTACCAGATTATACCCCAAAAAGATCAAAGAAAAAGGAAAAAGACTCATATGTACAAAAGTATTTCTAGTTTATAGTAGCAAAAGACTGGAAACTAAGAGGTGCCTATGAATTGTGGAATATCTGAACAAATATAACATATAAATGTAATGGAATACTATTGTGTTGTAATGAGGGGGACAGGTTCAGATAAATATAGGAGGACTTATCCGAACCGAATCAAAATGAAGTGAGTAGAACCAGAAAACCAATTTATACAATAACAACATTGTAAAGATAAGACAACTTTGAAAGACTAAAGAACTGATTAATACAATGATCAACCCCATTCCAGAGAAATAATGAGGCATTACACAATTCACCTCTTGATAGAGAGGTAATGAATTACAGTATACAGACTGAGACATACATTTTTCGACAAGTCTAATGTAGGATTTTGCTTTACTTAACTATGCAAATTTGTTACAAGGCTTTTGTTGTTTTTCTTTCCTTTTAAATTGGTAGGGGATGAGTATTAAAATAAGTGTTAATTAAAAACAAAACATGCTCAGATCAACCTCTATCTTAAAGAGGAACAACCATTTTTCCTCCACCTTGATCCACTTTAAATGTGTGTGTGTATACCTATGTATGTATACACACACATCCATACAGCATAGTTGAAAAAAACAATTGTTGTCATGGTTTCATCATTAGAAGCAACCACACTATCACCTACCAGATACCAATATCTTGATGATGAACCTACTCAAGCTTGTTGATAATCAGATTAAGCAAATGTAAAAGTTAGCTGACCCAAATTCCTCCCATTATCATTCTTGATTTCTATATACTCACTCTCTCTATCTCTCTCTCTATCTCTCTCTCTCTCTTCCTCTCCCTCCTTTCCTCTCCCTCCCTTCCTTCCCTCTTCCCATTTCTTAAAGAAACAAAACAACTAAGCTTTAATTCAGTTGCTGTAAACAATTCACCCAGTGAAAAATTATCACCAATCCCTAAAAGAGTCAATTACAAGACAGATATGGCAAATTATATGCCAAAACCCCAAAACAGCGAACCACAAAAGAAAGGCCTAGTAGGATAGACAAATTGGTTCCTTCTTCCTGGTTTATATCTAATCTCTAATTTTGGATCCCTTACCTCTCTGTAGATATTATTCTCCAAAGGCAATGTAACTATTAAGTGTCAGAGAAATGGTTTGTAGATTCAATAATTCCAAGAGGGTCTCTGGAAGATGAAACGAAACAAAAACAAGCATAAGCAGATGATAGGGAAGGTTGTGGGGGAAGGGAATCAGAGTACAGATAAAATAAAGGAGGTAGAAATATGTTAACAGTGAATGAAAGTGGGAAGTTTTAGTGAATCTGAACATTTTTCTTACAGATTCAAACTTGAAAAAAAAAAACCACCAAAATTTAAGGCTACCCCAGTGACCAAAACTTTCTTACTTTCCATTATTTTTTTAAAACATGGTATAATAGACCAACATCTTAGACTTTATACCAATATAAAGTCAAAATTGGTGCATAATTTAGACATAAAGGATGATACCATAAGTAAATTAGGGGAGTATGGAACAGTTTACCTGTAAGATCTATGTATAAGGAAGAATTTATAACCAAACAAGAAATAGAGAACGTTACGAGATACAAAATAGATAATTTCGATTATGTCAAATTTAAAAGGTCTTATGCAAACAAAACTAATGCAAACAAGATTAGAAGAAAAACAGAAAGCTGGTGAAAATTTTTATAGCAAGTATCTCTGATAAAGGCCTCATTTCTCAAGTATATAGAGAACTGAGTCAAATTTATAAGAACAGAAGTCATTGCCTATTCAAAACTATCTAAAGTCATGAAAAAATGCTCTAAATCACTACCGATTAGAGAGATGCAAATTAAAACAACTCTGAGGAACTACCTCACACCTATCAGATTGATAGAAAATGAAAATGATAAATGTTGGAGGGGATATTGGAGAAAAGGAAAATTATTAATGTTGGAGGGGGAAATTGGAACACTAATGCACTGTTGGTGGAGTTGTGAACTGATCCAAATATTCTGAAGAACACTTTGGAACTATATCCAAAGGGCTATAAAACTGTGAATATCCTTTCATCCAATAATGCCACTACCAGGTCTATATCCCAAAGACAGCCAAAAACAGGGAAAAGAGCCTATTTGTACCAAAACTAATTATAGAAACTCTTCTTGTGGTGGCAAAGATTTGGAAATTGAGAGGATGCCCATCAATTGGGGAACTGCTGAACAAGTTGTGGTATATGACTGTAATGGAATACTATTGTGCTATAAGAAATGATGATGAACAGGATGATTTCAGAAAGACTTACATGAACTGATACAAGTAGAATGAATAGAACCGGGAGAATGTCATACATAGGCACAGCAATAATGTATGATGATCAACTGTGAGTGACGTAGCTATTCTTAGCAATACAAATATCTAAGATGATTTCAAAGGACTCATGATGGAAAATGCTATCCACATCCAGAGAAAGAACTGATGGAGTCTGAATGCAGATCAAAGCATACTATTTTTCACTTTATTTTTTTCATGGTTTGGTTTTTTTTTGGGGGGGGGGTCTGTATTTTCTTTCACAACATGACTAATATGGAAATACATTTTGCATGACTGCACATGTATGACCTATATTAAATTGCTTACTATTGCAGGGAAGGGTGAAAAAAGAAGAAAGAGAATTTGGGACTCAAAAAAAATTTTAAATGAATGTTAAAATTTTGTTTTCATATGTATTTGGGAAAACAAAGAAAACATAGTACGGTGGGACTCAGACTAGACTTAGAGGCAAAAGATTTTGAACATCTATTTCTATCCTATTTCTGCCTCCTCTGTAAATTAGGAAAACTACCATCCCCCATACCTACTCCACAGGGTCATTGTGAGGGTCAAAAGTGCTGGACTTGGCATCAGGACGACCAGGGTTCAAATCCTGCCTTAGACACTTCCTAGTTGTGTGACCCTGGGCAAGTCACTTAACCTCTCAGGTCTCACTTAATAACCTAGAAGGTCTCTTCCAGCCTTAAAGCTATGATCCTAAATCACCTTATAACTATAAAGCTCTGTACAAATGGAAAGTAGATTCCACTGTTCCTTTAAAGGGTGGGTCTTTTTAAAGTGAGGCTCAGGCTGCCTCCTGGACCATGAGAGCTGTCTGCTTAGCACCTGGCAGCATCTGTTCCACACACCATTGTAACAATTCCTTCACAGAGGCACCTCTAAGCGCAGTCAAGCTGTGAGGTACGAAGCAGTTCCACACACTGAATCTTTCATTTCCTATGGGCAATGAGGTAGAAAGTTAGGGCTGAATCATGGCCACATCCAGCCTGACTCATGTGACAAGGTTTTCCGGTGACCTGATTACATGGTGATTATTAACTACCTTGGGAAGAAGTTGCCAGATTGGTCTGTCTTCACTGGAAGGAGAGAGGTTCCATTCTTTTCCCTTGGTACCACTGAAAGTGTCCTCAGTTCTCTTGAGTTTGAAGCCATTTCATTTTCTAAAAATGCCCAATCTTTATGTTTTGAAATGTTTATCTAGGCACTAAACATTAATTTGTAAAATGAGAATAATAATAGCATCTACCTCACAAGGTTGTAGTGAGGATCAAATGAGATAATATTTATAAAGTGCTCTATAAACCTTAAAGCAATATATGTGTGTGCACACATGTGTGTACATATATAAACACACTTGTGTGTATATATACAAGTGTACACACACACATATATAGATATATAAATGATAACGTTTATTACAGGCAAAGGTCAAAGTTCATTATTTCTTGCAACCTCATTTACATGTAGCAGCTGCTAAAGTTAATAGTTTCAAAGTAGAGCAGAGATAACACTCGTGTTTTAAGCCAGTTATACCCAGTCTAAAAGCTATTAGTCCTAAGGATCCCCCAAGCCTATCTCAGATAGACATTCCTAGCACTTATCACATTAAGGAATGTATCTACAATCAAGATCACAGCTTGCGTCCTGACATTGACTGTGTCTAAAACAGTAATCAAAAGAATAGAAAAAATGATATGTAGATCTGGCCAGTTGTTACTACTAGGGCATTCTTAATCTACCATTTTTTCATCACTCACATTTTCTCTTTTAACACATAAACTTTGGAAAATTCAAAAGAGAGAACCAGATGTTTCCTCTCTTCAAAGTTATTATAGAGAATTATTAAGGAAAAAAAAACAACTTAGGCCTCCAAAAAACCCATGGGGCTGGCATAAAGGGAGAAAAGACATTCATAAATTAAACAAGTTAGGCAGGCAGGCAGTGCTTTGAGAGATCCCAGTTGAATTACAACCTGAATACATTAATTTATAAGCATGGCAAAGATTTATGAAAGTGACCCCAGAATTTAGGATAACTATACATAGATAGCTGCTATTCTTTATTAATGAAGCATTTTACAAATTCTGCACCAAGAGGCCCACAACTTTTTCTTTTTTATGCAACCTCAGAAATGGTGTTAAATATTAAACATTCCACTTAGAGCACATGAAGATCTCAAGGCAATTACTGGCTACGGTTTGAATGTCAACAATGTTGCAAGCACCATATGTAACATGAAGTTAGAAGTCCTTTTAAATAAAAATAGCCCTTATAAATAAATATAGAAGCAAACTGGAAATAAAGTAATTTTTTTTGGAACCTCTGAACATACATTGAGGTAGCACAGTGGATAGAGCCCCAGGCCTGGTGTCAGGAAGACCTGAGTTCAAATCTGGCCTCGGACACTTACTAGCTGTGTGACCCTGGGCAAGTCACTTAACGCTGTTTGCCTCAGTTTCTTCATGTATAAATAACAAACCATTCCAGTATCTTTGCCAAGAAAATTCCAAATGGGGCCACAAAGAGTCAGACAAGACTGAAACTACTGAACAACAGCAAAAGAACATACATTGAATTTTTGCATGACAATGAGCAAATCACTTAATTTTTTGAGCCTCAGTTTCCCCATGGATAAAATGAGAATATCAACTTAGGCAGGCAGGCAGTGCTCTGGGATATCACAGTTGAGTTACAACTTGAATACATTAATTTATAAGCATGGTAAAGATTTATGAAAGTGACCCCAGAATTTAGGATAGCTACACATAGAAATCTGCTATTCTTTATTAATGAAGCATTTTACTAATTCTATAATTCTAGTAAATTTGCTAATTTACTAGAATTTACTAATTCTAACTTGTCCTTCCTACCTCACAAGACTGTTGTGAGAATCGAATGAGATATCTCACAGGAATGCCACACACTCCAAGCCTTGAAGAAAGATCTGTATGTGTAAGTATGTATGTGTGTCTATATATGTATGTATATGAAAAGTGATGTATTATATCTATATTATATTTCCATTATCATTGATGGCTATGTGACCTTGGGCAAGTCACCTAACCTCTCCCTGCTGGAGGTAATAAATTGCAGAAAAGGTCCTGACCTACATTGGTAAAGGGAGTTTCCTCATTTGGGCATTTCCTATTGAATGAAATCACAGCTCCAGTCCCTATCTCTATTATCATTATCATAATCACCATCTTATACTTGGCTTACCTCCCTCACAGGGTTGTTGGGATAATCAAATGAGATAATATAGGCAAAGTACTTTATAATTGTGAGCTTTATTATTTGTTGCTGTTATTGCTGTAGTCAACTTTTACCTCACTCTCAAAATATCTTTTAAACAATCCTCCTCACTCCTTTAAGAAGTACCCTGAATCTATTTATTGACTGAATGCTCTTAGATGGGTTGATCACTGTTACTCACCTGACCATGATCAGAAGAGAAAACAGAAATCTTTATGCTGTATGCTAAGACATAAATGACTCCAGGGCCTGAACAAAGTTTTCTACAAGTTAAACTTGAGGCTGTTTAAAACCAAACCAAACCAAACCTCTTGAAATGACCCTGACCTCTGAACAAATCTTCCAGGTGTCTCTCGCACAGTAATTTTCCAAAGGGCAAAAATCAAACCTTAAAATTCATAAAGAAGTAGTATGACCTAATTCCACTTCACTGTCTTATTATTTAAATGTATATCATTTAACACAGGAAAAGAGGTATTATGATGACCATTTTACAAATGAGGAAACTGAGGCCCAGAAATATTGTCTAATCAAGAATCTCAATAGATAGTTAATAAGAGAACTAGGACCAGAATATAGATCTCTTGATTCCTGTT